AAAGTCTTGGAGGAGGCCCGAAACTTTCCTGCGTGTGCATTCCTCGGTAAATCCACTTCAAAATAAGAGTCCGATCTTATTAACTACAAATAAAGTGCAAACGAACTTTCCCATAGCATATTGGATGCAATATAATGCACTTCTACGTAAAAGGTAACACATTTAAAATATAGTTAGACTATTAACCCCATATTACAGCATTAATAAATTAATATCTAGATTATACCGGTGAATTGGTTTAGCCAGTTGTTTCCCTGACGGATGGAGTCATACGCGCGCTGCTAAGCACGGGCACCGCCTGCAGCGGCGGCGCGCGTGACATTTTTAATGTGTGTCTGGCGCGTGCGAAGGCTTCCCGCATTATGCTTTCTATTTGTCACTGCCAGCACAAGAAGACACATACCATCATTAACGGTCAAATGTATCTACAGTTTGTATGAATCATTAATTGTGGTTGGACATCACATCCTCATAGGGGGGTGGTCGGGGGTATGCCGCCCCGGGAAGATGTGTTTTTACGATTTTAATATAAAATGCCCTTCATCTGGTGCACTTTGAGCACAAATGACTAGAGACGTAGATCAAAATCTAAAACACATATGAAAGATCGTTTTACATTTTTATAATAAAAAATTGAACATACCATAACTACCATAGAAACATATATGTACTTATTATTTTTGTTGGTTCATTTACATCACTTTCATCAGCCAATTTTTTAGTTTTAATACAGGTGTCAAAGGATGGACCCTAGTAATGGAATGTGCAAATGTCTCCACTTCGTTCCACTGCCCAGTGATTGAATATCTTGGGTTCTGCACCCTTCTGCAGATCTAGATCTCTCCGCTTCGCGTCGGGCTCCTGACAGCCTGTCGGGTGTTCTTTTCCCATAATGAAGCGTCGCTTGACATTATCCTTACAACTAGCTAGTTAGCGAGATGTATTCATTCTTACTGTAGGTCTTTATAAAGTTTATTTTACTTTTAATCTAAATGGTAACAACATTTTATTATAATAACTTGAGATTTCATGGCGTTATGACCTTCTTCTTGAGGTGATTTGTGTCCATAAGAGTTATGTCTGCTTCACTTGCTGTTTCTGTCTTGTCAGGCAGGTTTTCCTTCAGCTCTGAAAATGACAGCTTTCCCGCGCATCGGTGCTCGAAGTTGCGCGAGGCCGCTAGGGGGCAGCATTATAATTCTTTTAATAAAAAAAAAAATTTTTTGGTTTGGTGGGTGTTATCTGCTTGGGGGCTTGCGCCCTAGCAGCGGGCGCGCCGGCTGCTGAACATATAGGGGAAACACTGGTTTAATTTATTTAACATTAGAAATGTTTAGTCTGGCCATCAAGACTTCATGCTGAAGTGCCAATGGATCTATGCGCTGGAGGGTCAGGCAAAGGTCAAGCTTCCGATGCTGAAGGGCCCAGTGGATCTATGGTGGGGGATCAGCCAAAGTCAAGACACCCCACATTTGAAAGGGAGACAACGGATAACCGAAACTACGTGGACTTGCTCAATTCTTTGTGAGGATCTGTGAGGAACATGACAACAGCTGCTACTAGGTGCTTAGTATTACACAGCAATTGAAGGTGGACAAATTGACACTTAGGTTTCAAATAATGTGTTAATTACTGATTGTTAAAGCATTTGAACATTTCGTTTTGTGTCACATTTTTCATTATTAAGTTGATGTATAAACTGTATAGTATATTAGATTATTGAAAATATAAGGTGACTAAATGGCAACCGTATTTTATCTTTTGTTCTTATTTTCGTTTGGCAACCAAAAGCTGATGCCTGGTTGCCAGCCTGGCAACCACTTTTAAAAGTTAGCGTTGAGCCCTGAAGGGTAAGCGTTTTTCGGACTGCTAAATTGGGATCGCAGAGAAATGCTCTCTGCAGACCCATTCTCACAGCGTTATAAACCTTTTTCTTACTCAATATCAAGCCACACTCATTGTTTTTACTTCGGCTGTGAGTCTTTGTGTGTGCTCAGGATGAGTGTCGCTTGTTCTCGCTGTATTTGTTTCGCCGACACGGAAGCCCTGTCTGCTCCTCACAGCAGCTCCTCACGAACAGCTGTACGTTGCTTGGCCAATCAGAGCACACTGGGCTCACAGGGAGGGGGGGGCGAGCTCCAACAAGCCGTTTAGGACAGAGAGTGAATACCTGGTGAATACACATACTATACAGAGATGCTGTATGAGAAACCAATGTGAGTTTGGAAAATTGCACGATATAAATCTATTCTAGTAGACCTCAACAATGGAATTATGATCAGTAGAAACGGCCATGACATGGGACCTTTAATATGATATAAAAACAGAAAGTGCTGGTACAGAAAAGCTTTATATTTTAAAAGGTGAAAATCAATTGAATGATTTTTTTAAAATATATTTATCTTTTTATGCCTTAGTTGACTTATATTGCAGCTAGATGAATCATTTTATTTATAAAATGTCAGAAAGTAGTGAAACATATCCATCCCAGTCTCTAAAGTCTGAGGTGTTGACCCTAAATGTCTTGTTTTCTCAGTTCTAAACCCAAAACAATTCAGTTTAATGTGATATAAAACAGAGAAAAGCAGGAAATCTCCATATTTGAGAGGCTGAAAACAGCTTTGTCTTCCATGAAAAATGACTTAAATGATTGATAAATTATCAAAATAGTTGGGAAATAGTTTATTGTTGGTCAATGAGTCCACAAATTATTGCAGCGATTAACACGAATGTGATGTGAAAAGTTGAAACCATCAGTGGACAAACTAGAAATGGACATTACAGTGGAGTAAATGTCTTAAAATGTCTTGTGATGTCAGTCCAAAACCTCAATATACTAATTTGAATATAAAATAAAACAGAGAATGTTGGAAAAATGCATATTTAATAGGTTGAAAACGGCATTTACCGCAACTTTTGCATCAAAATATTGATCTGTTGATTGATTGGTCCACTTTCATTGCAGCTGCAGCCCACAAATATGACGATATAACCTTAAACGATTTCCAAACACTGAGAATTGGATATAAAGGGAATAGATGAGACATCTTGTGCCCAGTATTAAAACAGAAAGGACATTTGATTTGTTCTGGATTCCTCAAAGAGGGAGTAGGAGTAGATGTCATTTTAACAAGCCAGTTTAATTTTTTGTGGGAGAACCATATCAGTTATAAAACATGTCTGGAGGTGATATTTAAGTAGGTCCATTCATTCTAATCTGATTGGCGGAGGGCGGCCTGCAGGAGTGTGTGTGCCAAGCGCAGTGGGAAGAGACGTAGCGAGGAGTGTGTGTGTGTGTGTGTGTGTGTGTGTGTGTGTGTGTGTGTGTGTGTAGCGTGAAGCCGGATCATTGATCAGCAGCACGCCTTATTGGCTTCTGCTGAAGTCTTTATCACCGCGTCCCCTCCCACTTCCTCCCTCGCCTCGCCTCGTAAATTCACAGCGGCTAATTGGACATGACTGCGTTTATGTTCCAGCTTCATACATTTCTTTCTCTGAAGGGAGAGGATCGATTTTCCTGGAGTGCAGCCTCCCGTATAGCGTGAGTCTCTTCAAACGTTGGACCCTTCCCCTCACCTCCCACATGTGTGTGTTCCTTCTCCTCCCTCCAGACTAAACGAGTAATCTATGACTGACCTCCCCTGAAATCATGTCGTGAGCAGGGATTACACGGCGCCTCCTCTCATAACCACAGAGGTTTGTACATACATCACATAAACATTTTTTAACCTAATCCCTCCACTCAAGCTTATTATGTCATTATCTGATCAAAGTTGAAGTGGTTATCTAAAGACTCTTGTTGACACTAGTTTTCCATTTTCATTCTCAAGTCATTTTGTATCCAAAGATTGAATTCCCTCCAACACAACTTTGTTTTTGCTTATTCTCACTTCTCTTGAACAGGACACAATGCAGAGCTTACACTTTGGGAAGTGCAATCAAAGTGATGTTTGTTCCACAGAGGACTTAATTTCACTTAGTTCTGTGGGTGACACTTTTGTATGTAAAGATTGAGATCCTCCCTCTTCTAATAAATGTGCTTTTGCTTGTTCTTACTTCACTTGGATGTTTGACCTTCA